ACCATGGCCTTGGATTTGGAAGCACCGATTCTCATCCCAGCGATTTCACACTCGGCTGTGAACCACTCCAGCAAGAGCTGCAGATCACAACCTGATGAAGGCAACAGGACCACATCATACGCAAAAAGCAGAGATGCGATCCTAAGGCCACCAAAATGGATCCCCTCAACACGCTGGCTGCGTCTAGAAATTCTGTTCATGCAAGTAACAAACAGAATCGGTGACAAAGGGCAGCCTGGCGGAGTCCAACTGGAAACGAGCCTGATTTACTGCCAGCAATGCAGACCAGACTCTGACACTGGTCATACAGGGACCTAACATCCCGTATCAAAGGGCCCGGTATCCCATACTCCCAGAGAACCCCCGCAGGGTTCCCCGAGGGACACGGTCGAACGCCTTCTTCAAGTCAAGACCGGTTGGGCGAACTCCCACTCACCCTCCAGGACCCTGCCAAGGGTATAGAGCTGGTCCAGTGTTCCATGGCCAGGACAAAAACTACACTGCTCTTTCTGAATCCGAGGTTAGACTATCCGATGGACCCTCCTCTCCAGGACCCTTGAATAGACCTTGCCACGGAGGCTTAAGAGTGTGACCCCTCTGTTTTTGGAGCACACCCTCTGGTCCCCCTTTTTGAATAGGGGGACCACCACCCCAGTCTGCCAATCCAGGGGAATTGACCCCTATGTCCATGCAATATTTTAGAGTCGTGTCAGCCAACACAACCCTACAATATCCAGAGCCTTAAGGAACTCAGAATGAATCTCATCCACCCCTGGGGCCCTGCCACCGAGGAACTTTTTAACTACTTCGCCGACCTTGTCCCCAGAGATTGGAGAGCCCGACCTAGAGTCCCCAGGCTCAGCTTCCTCAATGGAAGGCATGTTAGTGGGATTGAGGAGATCATCGAAGTACTCTGCTCACCGGCTCACAATGTCCCGAGTCGAGGTCAGCAGCGCACCATCCCCATTATAAACAGTCAACACTGTTGACTGTTGACTATTTGTCAAAAGTGGTGCTGCACTGTTGGTGTTGCACCGCTTCCCCCTCCTGATATACCAGATGGTGGACCAGAATCACCTCGAAGCCGTGCGGAAGTCTTTCTCCATGGCCTCTCCAAACTCCTCTCACCCCCGAGTTTTTGCCTCAGCAACCACCCGAGCCTCATGCCGCTTCGATCGCCGGTACCCTTCTGCTGCTTCTGGAGTCCCACTGGCCAAAAAGGCCTGATAGGACTCCTTCTTCAGCCTGACGGCATCCCTCACCTAAGGTGTCCACCAACGGGTTCGAGGGTTGCCGCCGCAACAGGCACCGACAACCTTGTGGCCACAGCTATGATATACTGCCTTGACAAAGGAGGCACGGAACATGGTCCACTCAGTCTCAATGTCCCCTACCTCCCCGGGAACGTGTTCAATGTTCTGCCAGAGATGGGAGTTAAAGCTCCGTCTCACAGGAGACTCTGCCAGATGTTTTCCTGGGTTTTCAGTTTCAGAAAGCTATGGTAGTAAGTGTCAACTTAATACCGCAACCTACTCCATGAACCAATCCTGCTCGGTAGCAGGACTGTTTGAGCAAATCCTTAGTGGTACTTTGTAGCTGTGAACTGGGACAAGAAAAGTGTCAGAATAGGCGTGTCCTTTTATGAGGTAACCTGCAGATGTTGGAGTAAAAATGCGATTACCTTTATCATTTCCAAAATGATATATTTTTGAGCGTTACTGTTTTTCATTAGTCATTTTAGCTCAGTGAAATTTCAGTCTCACATCACTCATGTGAGACTGAGTGATGTGTCACTCAGTCTCACATCACTTGGGTATCAAACCCAAGTGTTCCACTTGGGTTTAATACCAACTGGATGGTGTCAGGAATACAGCAAAACTGTTTAAATACAACAGATGTGTGAATGTGGTGCGTGTCTCCAGCTATCATGTGGGACACCAGAATTCAATTCCCGACTCTTTATTAAAGATATTATTTTTGTCTTTTGTGTTTGTGCACAAATAGCTTAGTTTTAGGTAAATTTTATAAAAGAGCTTTTCAGACAAAAGCCCTCACACTGCTGATCATTGTGACCTGAACATTTATAAATAACTATCTGAAAACTGTGGACATCCCTACTGTATAGTTTAGTGGGGTTCTTTATTGTCACAGACCCACAAGACTAATGGATGAAGAACTCCACAAAATCAGTGAAAGCAATAATGAATTTGGTAAGCCTACTCATATGTTTTTGAGTGTCCAAAATACAGTAGATATTGATATTTTGTTAAGACAAATAAAACTTTTTTGGCTGTTGAATAAGTGTAGCATCAAGAATTAATTCTCTACTAAATCACACTCATGCATTAACTTGGTGTGTCGCTAACTTTTGCCATTTTGCAGCATCAACATTGCTGCTGGTTTTTTTTTGTTTTATATTTTTTTGGTAAATATGATTTGATATTCTCCTTGTGCCCTCGTTAACAATTCTGGCAAGACATGCACACTTTCAGGGTTTTTTTTTTTATTTCTCCTGTGGTCAATCATGTTATCTGCGTTCCGTAGATGAGGGATTCTTCTATACTTGTGCTCAGGCGTAACTTGACTCAGAATTGAGTTACCTAGTTGACATCTCCTGTTCTGAAACAGAAAACCCTGAGTATCACAGAGCTGGGTAGGTTTATTCAGACAGTATCTGCCTTCTACTCAGGGTTTGTTAACCCTGCTTTCTGAAAGGGGGTCCAGGCAATTAAAAGGACAGTTCATCCTGACTAACAATTTGTTCCAGTTTTGTATCAGACAGGTTATAATCTAAAACAAGGCAACAGCATGTGATTTACATATGTTGCCACACGTAAATGAGTTTACCTAAAGATCTTCTGTACATCAGTGACTCTAAAGCTGCTGCAGAAAAAAGTCTAGATATAACTTAGGAAACTTGGAAACACATAGTGAACCATTGAAGTTACCCAGATTATCCAGCTGAGCCTTGTCCTCTGCCCTCTCCTCTTCCCAGGCTGACTTGGGAACAATATTCCCAGCTGGAGGCACAGGCTGTCCATAACACAGACTCGGATAAGGAGGAGGTCTTCTCTGACTGCAGCATCTGATAGGGTCTGATCAACCACAATAAGCGTCAAGCAGACTGGATCAATGTTCCTCAACCTCCACTACATTTCACCAGATCTTCCTTCATCCTTTGTCAAGGAAGAGATAGTGCTGTCCGCCCCTGGACTCCAAACAACTGGCAGGCTTACGTTGACAGGACTGACTGGTGCTATCTGTGCTTGCTTGCTCCCTGTCTTTTCTGGCTCCTCGGTTGCAGTTATTTATATTCCTCTGTCCCCAGGAAGAAAGAGGAGATCAGGTTCTGGATCCATCAGCATTTTCCAGAGGCACACAGCAGCAAAATGCCAAGGCAACCATGGAAATTCAATCGTCTGCTAAACACTCTCTCAATGACTGGCAGGCTTTTGAAGGACAACAGGACAACAAGAATTTACCGTAAAAATTCCTAAAATCAGTTCCTAATTAGCCTCTCTGTGAAATACATGCATAAAATACATTTAGAAGAAATCATCTATTCCCAATGCAATAACCATTTTTAACCAACCTAAATTACATCTAACTAGTACGCAAAGTAACATGGTTAGATGTATTCAAACATATTGACAAAATTACAACTGTATGAATGTGTTGTATTTTGTTTGGAAAGTCAAAGAAAATGTTCAACGTCAGTGAACAATAAAGTTGTCTTATTTATTCACCAAACCAAATTACTGCATTAAGGTGTTCCAATCACTTCCACAGCCATTGGTCAATTTGCATTTGACATTGCAGTACATTTGATGTGGTCGACTTTCACATGGAATACTTTTGATAATATGGTGTAAATGTCTATAGTTTAAAACGAAAAACCAAACCAATCTTTTGTTTTTATTAAAAGCCTGACTCTATAATCTAAAGAACAGTTAGTTCTCAGCCATCGATAGATGCTAAAGCATCAACTAAATACTATGGGGGTTTTAGCCAAATCTATTCTGATTCCCAAGGAAGTTTCTGAAAGTTTCTCTTAAGCATCTAAGCTGATGACAATCCTAAGGTGTAGTTAAAGCTGCAGTAAGTAACTTTTCATAAAAATGTTTCTTTTACATATTTATTAAAACTGCCGTTATGTCCTGACAGTATAATATGAGAAAAATAACCTGTGATCAAATTGATCTCTCCTGTCTCCTTCCCTGTGGTCTGCCACCTGCAGAAATACTTCGCTCCTGGTCAGAAAGAGCCAATCATGCATTTGTGTCACACCCTCCCCTTTGCTCTCTGCAGCGCTAATTTTATAAGTATTACCTACTTTAGCTTTAACAGTTTTACTCTGCTGATTTTAGGTCAAATAACATTCTTTAAAGATGCCTAACTGTTTTATTGCAGTATTTATACAGAGCTTAGCTTTTATACAATTTGGACATGCATAGCTTTATGAAAAGGAATGAGGTGAAAGAGTCTCACAGGTGGGCAGCCCTTCTTGATGGTCACACTGGGTGTAGTGGCCCTCAGCGCTCCAGTGACACCGTGGTAGTACCTGAAGCAGACCTGGGTCTCTGCTGTGTGAGAAAAACATGAGACATTAATGTTTTTGGTAGCACTTTATTTGAAGGGGGTTGAATAAGACTGACATGACACTTTCATAAACATGACATAACACCTGTCATGAACATGAATAAGTCTTCATGAATATTTATGACTGTTGTAATAAAGCGTCATTCGGTAAATTATGACACTTTTAATACAAAGTTGACATTATTCAAAATGTCTGTTATGACAACTTGACATTAACCAGGAAATCATTACTGTTTAAACTTTACCTTTAATAACATAAAGTTACCTAATTTTTAAAGTGCAATCAGTAATACTTTTATAACAAATTTATATCAGTAATGATTTCTTGGTTAATGTCAAGTTGTCATAAAGACATTTTGAATAATGTCAACTTTGTATTAAAAGTGTCACTATTTACCGAATGACACTTTATGACAACAGTCATAAATATTCATGAAGGCTTATTCATGTTCATGGCAGTGTCATGTCAGTCTTATTCAACCCCCTTCAAATAAAGTGTTACCATTTTTGAACTGGTCTTTGCTAGATACTGTCTGTAAAAGTGACAAAAAAAACCCCAGAAGAAACACAAAAATGATCAACAGAAATAAGTGAATTAAAACTGCACATCACAGTTAAAATGCAGTGATTGTGCTATTGTAATTACTTTAAAGTAATGCAAACTGTGTGCAGATGGGGAAACCCAGCTCTGTGGGAAACATGGGGAGATTAGGGTCACAGTAAAGCTTTATGTTTCTTTGTCTGTTTTCACCAGACACACTCTGACACTTGGACAGGACACGCCACAACAGCACTGCATGAGCTAAGAAAAAGCTTCATTAATCCTCTGTTTATGTGGATTAATGGGCAGTAAATACAAACATTAAAATTTCAGTGGATGTTTTGGTGGGATTTACCAGAATTTAAACATGGGTATAGCTTAGCATCATGAGCATAAGAATTAAATACTTATATGATGTCTGATAATTTGACCAAGTGGAACCGAAAGACCTAATCAAAGCATGAATTTTAATGAATTATACACCACCATGGTGTCTAGGCTAAAGTATAATGGATGCCACCTGAATTGAAGCAGCTAGCAGAGGGTGTGTTCTTTGTCACTGTAGAGCTTTGTCTCACAGGTAAATCACTTTTGGGTTTAACTACCCTGTTTTGACATAAACAAACTCAGAACTCCAAACAGACAGGCAACAGCAAATGCAGTCGTCTGTACCTGTCTCTCTGTTAGATTGCATTTGTACTTTGGATACTATCTGAGCATCAAATCGAGCCCAAATTGGTACCCAGAAATGATCTGTTTTTATCATTACCTTATCATTTATTTGCTTAGATATGGCCTCAGTTCCTCTGCATGGGTTCTTATTTGTGCATTTAGATTCAGCTGTGTTCTTTTCAGGATTATCCCTTTGTTTAGTTCTAGCCTTCTCCTGGTCTGTTTATTTTCCTCCGTCCTTCCATCTGCTAGCTTGCTTTAGTTGTGTTCTGTCACCTCATAGTTCCCTCAGCTATTTTCATTTTCATTTAGTTAGGCTAACTGGTTTTCAGGTCATTTCTCCACTTCTTCAGTATGCATACAGGATAGCCTATTGATTTCATAGTTCTCCATAGGCTCCTTCCACGATATTTCTCCATGATTACCCGATCCCCTCTCCAAGTTCTATGCTAGTCAGTTATTTTCTGCTGTAAGTCATCTTTTATTTTTTTCTATTAAAAAGACATCTCTGTTGTATGTCTGCATGTGGGTCCTCCATAAAAAACCAACCATGAATATTAAACCTGCTGTTTGAGGATCACAGATAGTTTGGATTTTTTATTGTTTTTTTATCTTCTGGTTGCTGCTGTTGTTTTGAGATACTTACAATTTCTAAAATTGGAGCTGGAATCAATTTTCCAAACTATTTGTCCCTTGTGAGATCCACTGATGCCTCGATTCTTGTAATCAAGAAAGTTCTCTGAAAGAGTCTCATCTAGAAAGAGAGATAAAACCGATTAGGACACACTGATCGGCCACTAACAGTTCACTTTTATTTTACCTCTTGTCATTTTTTTACTGTCATAATAAGATATGAACGGTCTCATGAGCTTTAACATTTTTTTTCTTAAGAATATTGGAACAATTTCCTACACAAAATAAAACAATCCAATTTATCCATGGCATTGTTTGGGAAATATACAAGTAAAAAAATAAATGTTCAATAAAACATGAAAATAGTGGAAATAAAAATAAGTCATATCTAATTTACCAACAAGATACATTCCAATCCAGTCTCCAGCATCCACTTCCTCCTTGATGTCCCATTTGATGAGCAGATCTTCAGACTGGCCTATGGTGTAGTGGGCAGAGCTAATGGTGAGTGTGGACCGGGTGTCGGGTGAGACCAGGTCGGTGTCACTGGTGGAGCGTTGTAACCCCAGCATAAAGGCCTCCTGGTTCAAACTGTTGACTGCACATGTGTCTGGACCACAGCTGTGACGCGCTGCACCTTTGCAGCACTGGCGGGGCTGCCCACTGCGGGTCGGGGAGGACATGGCAGCCAGGCTCAGGAGCCGGTTCTGGTACAGGTTCTACATAAACATACGCAGCAGAAAATATAGTGACTGGATCTTTTGTTGGTATTTTAGTGCATGCTCTCTTATTGACTAACTACAGCTGCTGACATCAGTTTAATACCCCTTCTACTCTATCACTTTTTGTCATGTTTTAGCATAAAACTGTGAGGCTCAGGTCTCATGAAACTGAAATTGCAGCTTGATCGTTAGATTTCAGAAAGGGTAACTGATAGAGATTTTTGGTATTATCATTTTGTTATTACTTTCAGTCTAATGTTATTGTGAAAGTGTTTCTTCCTTATGTGTGTATAAACTGACCTGGAGGTTACGACTGACTTTTGGTATTATCATTTTGTTATTACTTTAGTTCATATTCAGTCTTACTTTAGTTCATATTCAGTCTAATGTTAATCAGTATTATTGTGATTTTTAGTTTAAAGTGTTCTCTTCCTTATGTGTGTATAAACTGACCTGGAGGTTACGACTGACTGTTTCATCTTCATGTGAGACAGTTAACTCTGTGTTTCCCAGACCTTAATTCTTATCAACCAGAACACCTCCTAACTGCCTGTGAGCAGTCGTATTTTGTCTCTTGTTTATCCTCCCTCTTTGTCGACAGAGCTGAACTGGGCTCAGATCGTAGATCAGATATCACACCTGGAACTGAGTTGCTGGTTTGTTTAGGTTAGAAGTTTTACGACCTCTGTTGTTTTTTTCTGGCTGTTCTGCTTTGACAATAAAACAGGGGCTCGCGTGGAAGGAGATCAGAATTCTCTGTGAACGGCCTGGAGAGGCAGTGGCGGAGAGTTTTCCTTTTGCAAAAGCTTTGTCTATAAAATTCATATACGTTGTCTGTGGTCTTTTTATATAGGTTCGAGAAAAAGTACCTATCAGTAACATTGCACATCACCCTGAACATTCCAATCATATTGTGAGACATGACAGAAAACCTTGTCAGAGTAGATTTGAAGATGGACAAACCTTACAATGTAAGTAAAAAACATTCACCCCCTGGGATGATTTTACTTATCAACTATTATTCCAGGATTTCTCTATATTTTTCTACATTCATTTCACCTTCTACCTTTGTAAGACTTCCAGGATCTGCTGCCGAGAAGCCTCCCCACAGCGTTATGCATCCACTACCACGCTTTACAGTGGAGATGGGGTGTTTGTGGTGACATACAGTGTTTGGTGTCCACCAAGCGCACCATTTTATCTGATGGCCAAAATACCCAATTTTGCTGTCATCAGACCAAATAACTTTCTCTGTCTTCTACATGGAGTCTCCCACATGCCTTGCTCCCCCTGTTGTATCTCACAGAGCAGTATTCAGAAGTTCTATATCATCCTGGGTCAGAAGCCCATTCCTTGTGTGGCACAGACTGCAGTGGCTGCCTTCGATGAACTGTTTAAGGCGCACTTTGTGTTTGCTGTGTCCTACGATGCAGCCCTCCTCAACTTCTACACATTTATCCAAACAACAGTTTATGGGATCGATGTGGCAACAACAAAGGAGAGCCCCAGAGTCAAGGAAATCAGAGTGAGAATTAACAACACTTAAATATGCCAACATGTTACATTTGTAAGGTTCAGCACAGAAATTCTTCAAATCTTTTTCAGCACTTGAAATTTAGTCATGCTTTGTATCCAGGGCACAAATTGCATTTGAAATGTGGGAAACATAGTTGTTCATCTGTTTTTTACATATATTCTGGGTTCAAGAAGCACTTGATGAAAGCACATTGAGACACTATTGCCATAGATTCTGTTTATGTGGACAATGTTGGAACAGATAGTGTTGAGACCAATGATGTTTGTGCTGATGACCCATTGAGTAGTACTTCTGTTAGTCAACAAAGTCTTCCTAAAAAGAGGCAGTTAACGGACATGTGTAGCTCTGTTATTGCCCAAGTTCAAGCAGCTGGAGTTTCTGAAAATATTGTGCAGTCTTTAACTTGTTCAATGAAAGAGGTTGTTAATGATGTTCATATTCAAGCACAGGATGCTGTTCTTACATGTCTGTCATCTGAAGTGAATGAGCAAACCTTAAACAAAGTCAAAGAATGTTTTGAGAACATAGAAAATCCATTCACACACCTTAACACTGAAACAAAGAGGCAAAGGTATTTTGAAAAAAAATGGAAAATTGTTGAATAGAGCATGTCCTTGGAGTGTGCTATGATACATGTTTGCATAAAACAACAGGTGTTTACAGTCAAATTCCTGTTAATGACAAATTTATGTATGTACCTATTTTAGGAAATCTTGAGTCATTGTTTACGAATGAAGAACTAAGTACTTGCTTTCAACAAGTAAAGTGCCATGAAGATGGGATCTATAGAGAGATCAGTGATTGTTCCTATTTTAGAAATCACTCATTATTTTCAGAGCAAGAACATGCACTCCAAATACAGTTGTATTACGACGATTTTGAATCAGCAAATCCACTGGGACCCAAGAGGGGTTCACATAAACTTGGCTGTATTTATTTTATTTTAAGAAACTTGCGAGCTAAACTAAATTCTGTTTTGATGAACATTCATCTTGTTTCTCTTTTTCATGCTGAGGACTTGAAGAAGTATGGTTTTGGTCCCATCTTGGAACCTCTTAGTAATGACTTGAAATGTCTTGAGACAGAAGGTGTTAAAGTGCCATTTTCGGATGTACCTTTAAGAGGTTCAGTTGTTCAGGTTACTGGTGATAATTTGGCATTGCATAGCCTTTTTGGTTTTGTTGAATCATTCAGTGCAACTTACTGTTGTCGGTTTTGTTTAACTGATAAAACAAAGTTTCAGTCAGTATTCAGTGAGGATAACCGAGACCTAATTTTTCGCACAGAAGAGCTCTACTCAGAACATTGCAATGCTGTGGCACAAAATCCCACTCTTGTACATTCTTTTGGTGTAAAAAGAGGGTGTCCTCTTAATGCACTACAGTATTTTCATTGTTCAAACAACTATGCAGTTGATATTATGCATGACCTGTTGGAAGGTGTTGTGCAGTACGAACTTCAGCTTCTTTTTCAGTACATGGTTAGGACTTCCATAGA